AGCGGGAGCAAAGGGCCGGTACCCGGCCGGCAGCGGGGCCGCAGCACCAGGCGCCGGCAAAAGCGGTGCTGCGGTCAGCGCTGTCTGTGGGAACAGGGAGGGAGCAGCGGCAGGGAAGAGTTGTCCCCGTTCCGAGCTCCCCCGTTAGCGCGGGAGGGGCGGAGGGGAGCTGTCCAAGAGCCCGGCTCCAGAGTTTATGTCATTATGTGGGTACACTGCTTACACCCGTGTCCTGCTGCCAGCGGAAGGAGCTCGCTTTCATACCCACGAGCCTTGGGCATGCCAAGCAGAGGGCTTAGAAGTAACAAAAGTACAACAACCAAATAGCAGGCACTTGGATAAGGCAGCATTTTCACTGAAAACACGTATACCTTGAAGGTGCCCTCAGTGGAATACTTACAGTCAATAACTACATGTAAATACTTACAGTCAATAACTACATGTCAATACTTAAAGTCAATAACTACATGAGAACAGAATTTTTCTTTCCTACGTGTTTCTTTCCGTCAACCAGTTTCAAGCATCCGATCTGTTCTTATAAACTTCATAAAAGTTAAACCCGAGACAGGGAAAGGCAGGCAGGTGCTAGCATTTGTAAGTGTGTGTGTACACATAGGAGAACACGCAGAGACACAGTGCGCACACCCTGGCCAGCCGCTCGGCATGCCTGCACGTCTCCAGACTCTTTATAACACCTGTGGTGTTTTACTTAGCAGGATTATCACTGGAGGTGTGTGAAGGACAGCTCTGTGGCCAGCAAGCAATGGTTTGTTGAGAAAATCACATCCTTCAAACTGCTAGAGGTGTTTAAATGTAACACCCCTCACAGGCAAATAAAACTATTTTGAGAACTTAAGTCTCTCAAAAACTTTTGTCCAGATAATTTATGAAAGCTACAGCAGAAACAGACTAAGTCACAGTCTTGTCATGAATGAGAAGCAAAGTGCCTGAATTAAAAGCCTGCTAAATAGCCAAAACGAAAGGATAGGATTCCCTTTTGTTTCATTTATTTTGGCAGTAGAAAAAAGTAAATGTTTCAAGCAGAATACTAGGGACAAATAGAACAGAAATGAGAAGGAAAATGTCTCAACAAATAAACTAAGCTTTCTACTTGCCTGGAATGCTGTATATAGTTCTAGTCACCTGCTGTTAGAAAGTATCCTGCAGAATTTGAGAAAACTTGAATGTAGCATACCAGGATTTGGGAGGTTCTGGAAAAATACAATGAAAGGAATTTTTTTTAATTACGACATAGGAATAAAGATAAATAAGCTGTAATCAAAGAATACAGATAGCTGGCAGAAATGTATTGTGACTGTCTTGTTATGTAAAAAAGAAGAGCCATTATTAACACTGAATATACCAAGTTTGCTAAAACAAAAATAGTCATAGAATCATTTAGGTTGGAAAAGACCCCTAAGATCATCAAGTCCAACCGTTAACCTAACACTGCCAAGTCCACCACTATACCATGTCCCTTGAGTGCCACATCTACAGGACTTCTTTTAAATACCTCCAGGGATGGTGACTCAACCGGTGCCTTAGGCAGGCTGTTCCAGTGCTTGACAAACCTTTCAGTGACAACCCAGTTGTCACAGAGTGTTTAATTAGGGTAACTTTATATCATACTGTGGAGGTCAGCAGCTGAGATGAAGGAAAAACTAGAGATTTGTGTAGGTAAAAATACAAATTTCTAGCGCTAAGAGACGTGTTGAAAAGGGTACAGGATTTCAACCTGGAGTTTAGCTTTGGTTTTAATTTTTGAAACTTAGGTTAAGATTTTCATTTTGTTTATCCTGTATGTGCCTTCTGCAGGATGTATTGCACCTCTCTCCAAAGCACCTAGTGCTAACCACTTCTGGAAACGGAAGATGGGCCTAGCTGGGCTATGCTGTCATTTGTTGGCTGTCATCATGGCTCTCACTTCTATCATCTGATGGTTCTTTGGGAGCCTGTGCAAAGTAAGCTGGTGTTGAGTTTTAGAGGCAGAAAGGACTGGGTGCAGCTTGGTTGTTTTCACAACTGACACCACTTCTGTGTCTGCCATTACCAAGTGACATGTTGGAAGTCTTCATGATATGAACTTACAGCTTCAGTCATAGTGCCCTTAACCAGATTAAGCTGTTGCAATTTACCTTCACTCAGGCAGGGAGGGGGAGCTGATACAGCAGTAAAGCTTTCCTCCATCCTGTGGAAATACAGCAGATTAGCAAAGTACACAATATATATGCACTCTATTTCTAGTTCACACATAAAACCTATACCTTATATCTAATAAAGTTACATACTTATATACTGATACTAATACATACTTATCTATGCTTATGTTAGGACATAGTACATTTTTCCTAGAAAATATGACGTGTTGTACCAAATTCACATTTTTTTAATGACTATATGAAAGCATCCCTAGTCTTTACTTTGGAGAGCTAGTCACTTTAGGTGCACAGCAAAGTACAGAATGTAGTGTGGGCTGATTATCTTTCGACAGAGGAAATGAGCTCACTACAAACTCTGTAATACCACAGTTGCATCACCTCTGGTTACCTGTATGCCCTACTGAAGTTTATATGAGTCTGTGTTTAGCATTCATGTGTAATGGTGCTTTACGTTTTCATTACTTGTTTTTAGTTTTTCATTATTTGTTCTTGAGATTTGGTTGTAATAGCATTTTACAGGTTTTATTACTTTTTTCAAGATCTTCAGTCTCGATCTCGGAGGTATATCTGCTATCGTACTGAATGGCTATGATGCAGTAAAAGAATGCCTTGTTCATCAAAGTGAAATTTTTGCAGATAGACCATCTCTTCCCTTGTTTAAGAAACTGACAAACATGGGAGGTAAGAACCAATATCTTTTATATAAAAATGGAGGGTTTGGCCGGTAGATGGGCTCATGATCACGTAAAACCTTTGCTTTAATGTTTTCTCTCCTTCTTTATCTCCTTTCGTAAACTGCTTGGTGCTTCTTTAAAGATATTATTTGGAAAGTACTGACAGTCTTGGACTATTCATAGCAAGATGTGTGTAATTTTTTGTCTTCTATTTTTGTCTTGTTAAATAGTTTTATTATCTTATGGGGGGAAAAATAAAGCATTGCATAAAATACTGTGTCAAAATATTTTTTCAGGCTTACTGAACAGTAAATATGGCAGAGGATGGACAGAACATCGCAAATTAGCTGTAAATACCTTTCGAATTTTTGGATATGGTCAAAGGTCCTTTGAACACAAAATTTCAGAAGAGGCTATGTTTTTCCTTGATGCCATTGATACATACAAAGGCAGACCATTTGATCTAAAGCACTTGATAACAAATGCTGTTTCAAACATTACGAATTTGATTATTTTTGGAGAACGTTTTACATACGAAGATACCGAATTTCAGCACATGATTGAGATTTTTAGTGAAAATATTGAATTAGCTGCTAGTGCTTCTGTATTTTTATATAATGCTTTTCCTTGGATTGGTATCTTGCCATTTGGGAAACACCAGCAGCTGTTTAAAAATGCGGCTGAAGTCTATGACTTTCTTCATGACCTTATTGAGCGTGTCTCTGAAAATAGGAAGCCTCAGTCACCTCGACATTTTGTAGATGCATATCTAGATGAGATGGATTGCAATGAAAAGGATCCAGAATCTACATATTCCAGAGAAAACTTAATTTTTTCTGTTGGAGAACTCATCATAGCTGGGACCGAAACCACCACAAATGTTTTAAGATGGGCAGTGTTATTTATGGCTCTTTATCCAAACATTCAAGGTAAGAAATTTGACATTTTGAGGAACCGATACACTTTCCTAATGCAAATTTAAAATGCTTTTTCAAAGTGGTGCAGTGATCCATAGTTGTGACCAAACAGAAAGAAAGGGTTATATATATTATTCTATTTAGCAAACATACTATGGATTGAGGTGAAAAGCCTAATTTATATGCAGATGAAGAGGACATCAAAAGTTAAGTACAGTGATAAAATTTTTGCATGTTATTTTGTGAATACATTTTTATAAAGCTTTAATATTTTCAATAAAGTATTTCTAATATATTTTAGTTTAGTGTAGTGATGCATAATATTGGTTGGTAGATGTATTAATCTATGTAGTTAGTAAATAATAAGCAAATGCAATTAGGTATGAAATTGATAAAACAAGAATGTAAAAATATCAGCAAAAATATAGATCAGGTTGTGGTTAACAATTTACATGCATTTTCTTCTTATCCTTAAGTGCCTCAATTCACAATAGATTTATGTATTACAGACATGTATATTTATAGTTTTGGAAGAACAAAAATAGCATTTAAAAATGAAAATAGAAAGATGTCACAGTCATTCAGAGGTAAGACAGCAATAGACGTTTGAATGTCAGCCCAGACATTTTGTGTAGGCATTCGGATTTTAGAAGTGAACAATCATGTTTCTTGTTTCACTGCCTCCGCTTTGCTTTTCCTATCACAACTTAGCAGGGCTTAGTTCAACTGGGGACTTTCAGTATTTGGAGAAAGAGCAGCCTCAGATAACTTGGAAAGTTACCATTGATACTTTGACAAAAAAATACCGCTCTAACATCAAATTCGCCATTATCATCATTTCAGAATGGGGATAACAACGTTACCTGTAGCTATAAGGCTCTTAAAGATCTGAAGTTCTGCATAGGGACCAGATATCTTTATGTATGATATTTTCTTCTTAGGGTAGATGGAAAGCAATTAGTATCTTAAAATAGGAGATGAAATTTTGTATTTACATTTAAGGTAAATACAGCTTTACTTTAAAAAAGAAAAGATAATGTATGTCAAGGCCTGATGTGCTATAAACAGTGGAAATCATTCAGTTTAGATAAAGAAGTTGATGACAAAGCTCTTTCATTGCTGCTATTACCATTATTTTAAGTAAGTAAGTCTCATATTTACTGAGCTGGCTTAAATATCTGGCTAAGCAAGTAGAACTCTTTGCAGTCTTTTGCTTGTTTCTATAGTTTTGAAGAGCTCCAGAAATAAAAAGATACTCAAGCAAAGAAAAGTATGTTAAGCATTATTTTACTGAGAATAATTATTTCTGAAATGAAGATTACTGGTGTGTAT